GGCACCGGACTGAGCGCACCAGGCACCGGACTGAGCGCACCAGGCACTGGCATCCGAGAGCGCTGTGTGTGGAGTGCCCCCTGCCCAGGCGCCAGACTGGGCACTGGCACGGAACCGGCGAGAACAGTGGCCTGAGAACCCAACGCCCGGGCACCAGTGAACCCTGCGGACTCGGCACTGGACTGTGTCCCCCGGGCACTGGTGTTGAGTCCCTGCAGGCTGGGCTTTGGCAACCCCCCCCCCGTCCAGCTGGATCGGCGCTGGGCACCTGCGCGCTGCTGGCCGGGCGTCACTGAGGTTTGGATCTGCCCCTGCCCTGCTCCGTCCATCTGCCCTTCTCCTCTCACCTTGGCAACATGCTGCCCCGGCCGGTCCGCCTTCTGCACGGTAAGCGCCATTACCAGAGGGCACCTCGGATTCACCCCGGGGCCGGTGGGTCAGCTTGGGAGCCGCTGCTGGCTTGGCAGCATGGGGAGGATGGGATGGTGCTGAGGGGTGGTACCAGGTGGAGGGCAATGCTGGGGGGGCACAGATGGGGCGGTGTCGGGGTGGGAGGACACAGTGTCCTGGGTGAGGGGGACACGGACAGGCGAGTGCTGGCAGGGGGAGAGGGATAGTGCTGTGGGGATACAGGTGAGACATTGCTGAGTGGGGGACACAGCACCCTTGGGGGGCCACGTGACAGGGATGGAGGTAACAGTGCCCAGGCACTGACAGCACAGCTTCCTGGGGTGGGGTCGGGGGACACAAGCACCCTGGACGGGCATGGAAGGGGAGGGTGGGGCAGAGGATGGGAGGGTGTGGGGCAGCTGTGGACGAGAGGGTGCCAGGGGGCAGCAGGACACACAGCATTGGGTGCATGAGCAAGACAAGCCCTGGGGTGGGTGGGGATTGTTCGTGCCCAGGCCGGGGGGGGTGCAGGGCAGTGTGATGGGGAGGGAGAAGCCAGAGCAGCTCAGTCCACACTCTGTCTCCCCCACCCTGCGAGCACAAGGACAGGGAAGGGGGGAGCTGAGCACCAGGGGTGGTGCCACCCTCCTCGCCACACACCCAGCTGCTTAGTTCCCTGGGGGGGGCAGGCCAGGGAATGGGACATGGGGCCTTCCCCTCTAGGGGGCTCTGATTCAGCTGTGGCGATGAGGGGCTGGCTGGGGGGTGTTCTCCTCGACCCCCAAATGCACGGATCTGGTGGGGGGAGTTCCAGCTGCGCCCCCTGCGGGACAGGGCTGGGGTGGATGGGGGGCATGTTCTTCTCTGGGGTATTTGGTGCCCAGGGGCTGGTGACTCCAGCGCTGACTCAGCTGATGAGAGGGGGAGTGAAACAGATGGGTCGAGGGAGGGGGCAGATGGGGTGGGATTGGCAGGGGGGATACGAGGGGGCGAAGCGAGGATCAGAGGCGCTGAGCACACAAGGGGTGGGTCTGGTGTTGCCGCTCCCCTGGCACTGGGGGGTGGGGGTAGGCTGGGCAGCGCTGCCCCCTGCTGGCTTGGTCCTGGTGCCCCAGGCGTCTGATGCCATTTATAGCTGTTGCATTACGGAAGAGCTCCCACCGCAGCCAGCAGCTTATTTTGGGGGTCTTAAATTATGGACAAGCACGGAGCAGCTCCCGGCAGCACGGAGCCCCCTCGCCTGCATCACTCACTGCGTCACCACCCCACAGCCTCCCTACCAGCCTTCGCCCTGCTGGGGAGGGGGGGCGGATGTTCCTGGGGTATTGCCCCCCTCCCCGTCTGCTCCCCAGAGCCTTCATCCTCCCCACCATGCTCCTCTTCGGGGGGGCCCCTCAGCTGTGGAACCTTCTTTGCCAGCCAGCTGCCTCCTCGTAGGGCTCCCCCCTCCACATCTGTCTGAGCATCTGATCCAATGGGGACCACCCCTCACCCTCCATCCCCACCATCCTCTTCCTCCGTGGGAGGCTGGACTGCTCCCCCAGGCCTTAGATCTGCCCCTCCATTTCCCCTCCCCTTTTTCTGGTCCCCTTCACCCCAGGACTCACTGCCCTGGTGTTGACCCCCGCCCCATGCCCAGCAGAGTCTATACCCACCTCCCTGCTCCCCTCTTACCATGGCCAAGTGCCACATCCTGGGGACCCCGCTCCCCCAGTTCCGCTTCCTGGGTCGGTGGTTCCCCTGTTGGCTGGTCAGATGCTCAACTGGGCACGAGCTGGTGGGTCACAGATGCTGCCCCAGCCCTCAGCAGGGGAAAGAGGGGGATCGGACAGCCACATGGGAGCTACCTACAGTCACTGCAAAGAGCCAAGAAAGTGGCTGGAGGCCTGGAGATCTGGAAGGGCCTGGGGCATATGCCTGGGCAGGCATCTGGGGTGCTGGCATGGGGCCCACCGGGTAAGCAGGAGGGGAGAGGTAGCAGCTGTGCCAAACCCCCACCGCACTCCAGGGCCAGGCGCAGGAGGCAGGCAGGCTGGTGAAATGCAGACTGGGTGAGGGGTGCTATCCTGGCCTCCCTTTGAGGAGTGGAGTCGGACTCCAGTGAGGGACCCCTGCCCACTGGCTGGTAGCAGGGAGTGAATGGAGGGGGCAGCCCAACTAGGGCAGGTATGGGGGCTTGGGGGTTGGGGCAGGGAGAGAGAATAGGGCAGGCCTTGAGGGAGAGGAGCCCAGGGGCACAGACCATGCTGATGGCCATACAGGAGTAGGGGGGGGTAGGCTGAGAATCTTCCAGCCCTCCTCCCCCTCCTCCCTCCCTCGACCTGCACTTAGAGAGAGCCACAGGCCTGAATTATGGATGAGGCTCCTTGGGTTACAGCTGCCTGGCCAGGGGCGGGGGCCCAGAACAGCCCCCCCAGGCACTGGGCATTGCTGGACTCCTGCCCAGCCCCAGAGGAGTGCTAAGGAGGCACTGCTGGACCAGTGCTAAGGGGACACTGCTTAATCCTCTGAGCAGGATTAAGAGATCAGAATTCGGCTCCTCAAATTCCCAGAGAGAGACAGGAAGTGCCCCATACAGGGCCTGGGGGAACTTTCTCAACACCCCTCAGTGAGAGACAGGGAGTGGAGTGGGCAAGGAATGCTCATAGGCACTACCACACTGGGTCAGACCAATGGTCCATCTAGCCCAGTATCCTGTCTGCTGACATGGGCCGATGCCAGGTGCTTCAGAGGGAATGAACAGAACAGGGCAATTATCGCGTGATCCATCCCCTGCTGTTCAGTCCCAGCTTCTGGCAGTCAGAGGCTAGGGACACCCAGAGCGTGGGGTGATTGGGGTTGTCCTTGGGGAGCTCTAGGACTGTCCTGTACCTGACTGAGCCTGGGGGGGTCTGCGTGGGGGAGGTCCTGCCCGTGTGAGTGTGGGGATCTCCCCTTGAGTGAGCTATAGAGTCTCAGCCCAGCAAGGACACTCTCTCTCTCTCTCTCTCTCTCTCTCTCTCCCCCCCCCCTCCCCCAAAGCCCAGTGAGTGTGTGGCTGGAGCTGCCTTGTGGGGAGAGGAGCACGTGTGGGTCCTGAGTGGGGAAGGGGAGAGGAGGAGGCGGCGGAGGTGGTGTGAACAGGAATGGCAGCAGCTTGTCACTTGCTCTGGCATCAGCTGCCCACCTACACACGCTCTGGGCACATGCATTTGCACATGGGACACGCGCACCGAAGTGTTCACACGAGAACACACGGGCGTGTTTGCTGCCTGGGGTCAAGAGCACCCCAGGCCTGGGAATACCCACCCGTTCCCCCTGGGAATGGGAACTCTATATGGGAAGGTGCCCAAAGGACACCCCCCCCCCCTCACACACACACGCACGGGATCACACACATGCTTGCTTGGGTAGGAGAGCACGTGGGGGGCAGGGGCGTGGCCCCCTGCCGGGTGGGGGGTGGCCCTGGCTGGGTGGAGGGGGGGGGGGCCTCTGGTGCACTGGATGGCGCTGGTACAACAGCCCCTCTCACCTCCTGCCTCTCTGTTTTGCAGGCTCCGTCACTCCCCTCTTCTGCCTCCTGGTGCTGCTGGTGACCTTGCCCCCGGGGGCGCCCACCTGCCCCATGCTGTGCACCTGCTACTTCTCCCCACCCACGGTCAGCTGCCAAGCCAACAACTTCTCGTCGGTGCCCCTGGTGCTGCCCCCCAACGCCCAGCGCCTCTTCCTGCAGAACAACCTGATTGGGGCACTGCGGGCGGGCACCTTCGGGCCCAGCACCGTCACCCTCTGGCTTTACTCCAACAACATCTCCTCCATCCAGCCCGGCACTTTCCGCCACCTGCCCGCCCTGGAGGAGCTGGACCTGGGGGACAACCGCAACCTGCGCAGCCTGGACCCCGACACCTTCCGGGGGCTGGAGCGTCTGCAGTCCCTGCACCTCTACCGCTGCCAGCTCACCAGCCTGCCCAGCACCCTCTTCCGCAGCCTCTTCAGCCTCCAGTACCTGTACCTGCAGGAGAACAACCTGCTCTACCTCCAGGTGGGTGGGGGCAGGGATCCTGGCCACAGGGATGGACATGCGGATGCCCGTGCACCAGCCGCCGCAGTCGGGAACTCAGCTCGGCCTGGGACACTGGCTGGCTCCGGGGCTGGGGAATGGGATATGGGGCCTTTTCCCCCTAGGGGGCACCAGCTCCAGTCCTGCTGAGCTGGGGCTTCGGCTGCGCTCCCCACCTGTCCTCTCGCCGGGCGTCCAGCTGCCCGGCGGATGCAGCTCCCCTCCCCCACTCTCCTGCAGGCAGGCCGGGGGGAGCAGAGGGGCTCTTTGGTGCCTTGCCAGCCAGCTACTCTCAAACCACAGTCCATCCGGCCCCGGGCGCTGCGGCTCCTCCACAGAAAGAAGCAGCCCGGCCCTGCAGCCTGCCCGAGCGGGGGGGATGGGGGAGGCGAGGAGAGGAGAGGGAGTCCCTGCCAGACAGCACTGCCTCCAGCATAGCATGCCCTGCCCTGCAGAGCTCACAGGGCCGGGAGCTGGGTGGTTAGGGGGCAAAGCTTGTGCCATGTCATCTGACTTAATTACCATCCCTCCCTCCCTCTCACTGTCATCTCGCCCCTCCTCCCTTCCTCCAACCCCTCTCTCTCTCCATCCCTCTGTGTCCTCTCTCTTCCTCTCCTCCTGCTTTCCTTCCACCTCCCTCCATCATCCCTGGGTCCTTCCTTCCATTCCTCCCCCTCTACTCCACCATCCACCCTTCCCTTCCTCCATCCACCTTCCATCTATTCCTCCCTCCATCCATCCATCTCTACCCCTCCTCTCTCCCTTCTTTCTACCCCCTCTCTGTCCATCTGTCCTTCCTTCCATCCCTCCCCTCCTTCCTTCTACCCCCACTCCATCTATCCATCTCTACCCCTTCTCTCCTCCTCTCTCCCCTCCTTTCTTTCTTTTTTCTACTCGGCTCTCCATCCACCCTCCTTTCTCCCCGCTCTCCATCCCTCCCACCTTGATCTCTCAGGATGACCTGTTTGTGGACCTGGCCAACCTGAGCCACCTCTTCCTGCACGGGAACAAGATCCGTGTGCTGTCGGAGCACGTGTTCCGGGGGCTGTGGGGGCTGGACCGGCTGCTGCTGCACGTCAACCGGCTGCACTTGGTGCACCGCTGGGCCTTCCGGGACCTGGCCAAGCTCACCATCCTCTACCTGTTCAACAACAGCCTGGCGACGCTGCCGGGCGAGACGCTGGCCGAGCTGCCCTCGCTGGAGTTCCTGCGCCTCAACAACAACCCCTGGGCCTGCGACTGCCGTGCCCGCTCCTTGTGGGCCTGGTTCCAGCGCGCCCGCGTCTCCAGCTCGGCCGTGGCCTGCGCCACCCCGCCGGAGCGCCAGGGTCGCGACCTGCGCCACCTGAGCCAGGCTGATTTCAGAGACTGCCCCCCGGCCAATCACGCCCCGGCCCGGCCTGCGGGGGGCACCAAGCCCAAGTGGGGTGGGGAGGCCGAGGCGGGCCGGCCCCGCAGCAACAGCTCCTCCAACCACCTGTACGGGCTGGGGGAAGCCGGGGCGCCCCCTGCCGACCCCTCCTCCTTCTACCGGGACCTGCCGGCCAGCGACATCCGCAGCCCCAAGTACGACTCCCCCACGGAGGTGGACTACTGGGCCGGCTATGGTAGTGAGGAGGGCCGGCTCAAGGAGGGCTGCGCCGGGCCCGGCTGCTCCCCGCTGGACTCTGGGGCCTGTCGGCCAGGTATCCTGCCCGCAGCCCTCCCCCCACTCCTGCTGCTGCTGCTGGGGCCCCCCCGGCTCTGACCCGGCCCCACCAGACTGAACAAGGACAGCGACGATAGGAGGGGAGGACAGGCCCTCAATAACCCCCCGTGGCACTGAGACTGAGGGGGGCAGCCCTGAGCCCCCGTTCCGGGACTGAGCCTGCCTTGTTTCTCCCCACCCACACCCCTGCCCTTGTGGGCAGCTGGCTGGTGGAAACGTGGAGTTTGGGTAACGAGGGCTTTCCCCATGCCCAGTGGGTTCCTGCTGCTTGTCTGCTTTTGGATGGGAGGCCACCAGTGCAAACAGGACCCCCAAGGAACCCTCTGCTGGCACCCCCAACCTCCCCCCCCCCGGGGCCCCCCCCCCCCCCGGGAACCCCCCCCCCCCACCCCCCCCCTCTCCCCCCCCCCCCCCCACCCCCATGGACCTTTCCATGCTAGCCCCCAACCCCATTGATGTTACTCACTGCCCCGCCCCCCGCACCATCTCTCCACCCTTGGTAGAGCCCCCCCACTTCCTACCTGACAAGCTGTGCAAGAGGACCAGCTGTTGGATGCCTCCTCCCCCCAGGGGCCCACAGCATGGCCCTTAGGAGTTAGAGCCCCCCTCCTGCTGGAGAGAGAGGGGATCAGTGTCCTTCTAATCCACCCCCATTGTCCCCTCCAAGCCACACCACCCCCTGCTCCTACATGCCCACAACTGTCCCCCCAGCCCATTGCCTGCACCCCTATAATCCCCACTCCAAGCTACTGCCTCCCCCCCAACACCAACCCAGAGAGAGAGAGCGAGCAGTGTCCCCTCCCCCACAGTGCACCTCTCTAACCCACTGCCCCCAGCCCTTTCTTTCCCTCTCTCACAGGACACCCCCACCTCTCCCCCCAGCTCCATGTTCCTGGACTGGCCCTCAGGGCTGCACGCTCGTTTCTTCTCCCCCCTCCCCTGAGTCTGGTGGGGTCCCGCCCCAAACCCTGCTCTGCGGCTCTGACCGCCCCCTTTGCCGACACGTCTGATGCTGGATGTTTTTCTGCTGCTCGCCCCGCCCCCCTTCGAACAAGCAAAAAAAAAAGGGGTTGGAAAATTATTTATTAAAAAAAATTCTATTATTTTAGACCCGTTTGTCGGACTTAGTCACTCGGGCGCGTGGGCAGCAGCTGCTTCGGAGTCCAGTTCCTGAGCGTGGCCGCTCCTGCCCGGGCAGCACAGGGGTGTTCAGATTGCTGGCTCCCGGCTCGCTCTCTGGATCCCATCTCAGGCCAGGAGGGTGCCAAACCCAAGACTGGTGGGTCTGAGAATTGATGGGGTAGGTGCCCTCCTTACCAGCGCCTCATGCCAGCTGGCACAGATTCCCCTCTCTCCCCCCCCCCCACCCCCTCCAGAGCAAGCACAGACTCAGCAGGCAGAGGAGGGGAGCAGCTCTGGCAGCTTTTGGTCGCTTGCCCCCCAAAATCTCCGCTCTCATTTCAAAACAGCAGCTTCTGTCTCCTGAAGCTGGCAATGATTTGGGGGGATCCTGGTGGCCCCCCACCAGTCCCTGCCCCTTCTGACTATCCCCGTTGCAGGCTCTGGCTCTCAGCATTGTAGAGAGAACCTCACAGAGGCGTAACACATGTGTGATGCTGCCTGAGTCTGCAGCCAGCCTGAGCCAATTGCCTTGGGGGTTTCCCTTTCAACTGAGTAGGCTGTTAACTCTGGAACCCAATGATGGTGATCACACAGCAAATGACATGAACTTGTGGGTTGCTGCCCAAAGCCCCCTGCCAGGCATCCACCTTCAGGGGCCTGGCACACGTGGACCCCATGTTTGCTCATGTTCTCTTGCCCCACTGCACTTCTGTCTCCCCCATTATTTGGGTCGGGGCAGGGTGAGCATGAGGTGGAGGTGAGGGGTGGGGTGGGGGTGGTCACATGGGGATGGGGGTTAGAGGTCAGTTGCTGGTGTGGGGTGAGGCAGGGTCAAGGCAGGGTCGCTGTGGAGGTGTAGGCAGGCCTGGCACTGCGCCAGAGGAGGGGGCTCTGCCTTTCCAGGTCATGTCCTTCTCATGAAATATTCAGGACCCCTCTTGCAGAACAGCAGCACAAGCCCGGGAGCAAGGCTGCGTGAAAGACCCTTCCCCCAGGGAACCCCGGCGCTCCCTTCCCCCACCCGCAGCCAGCGGGCGCCTCATGTCCCACCCCTGCCCCTCACGTGGCTCAAGGGGGCCTGGCCAGCCATGGGGGGGAGAACAGAGCCCAGCCCAGAGCAGCCAGCCAGGGGGGACGGGTCTGGCCTGGTACAGCAAGCGAAGGGGCACAGCTTTTGTGTTTACAAGAGGAGTTAAAGCTGCACGGGGCTGGGACCGGCTCAGCCTCCCCTCGCCAGCTGGCTGGTGTGAGCCACCGCGTGAGGGGCTCTAGCCCAGAGCTAGCTTCTCCCCTCCTTCCCCCTCCTGAAAAAACCCCACTTGGCTGAGGGGCAGCTAAGGTAGCTCAGTGCATCTGTCTCTCTCAGCACATCTCTGGCCCCCTCCCATCTCCATCTGTAATGTAGTTACCAGTTACCATGCAGCAGGGCTATCCTCCCCATCGTACAGAGGGAAACTGAGGCACAGCGAGGCTCTGTGCACTGATGCAATTCCCCTCCCCTCAAAAGGAAAGTTTTCTGAAATAATGCCCCTGGGTGGGAAGCTAATGGGAACGGAGTCTAACCAGAGGGAGTGCTGCATGCCTGAGTCTTCAGGCAGCCTGAAACAACAGCCCTAGCATGGGTACTAGCCACCCTGATTCATCACATGGGAGCTGTTGATTCTGGAGCCTACTGATGACCCTTGTGGTGCCAACCCAATGAAACACGGCTCTGCTGATGATCAAAGTGAGTGAGGAAGCAGAGGAAGGATGGAGAGAGACTCGTTTTCCTGGGGGTGGGGCTTGGTTTGGGGGGCAGGGCTTGGGAGGATGCAGCTCAACCACAGTGCAGCGTGGTGGAGTGGTAAGCGAGGTCTGCCCAGCCCCTGCTTTGGCAGCTGCTGCCAGCCCCAAATTCACTCGCCCTGTCCCTCCCACAGTGTTACACTCTCCTGCACAACAGCTGTGAACACACGTGCAGCTGAAGGTGAGGAGGCAGGCCCTTTAAATCAGGTGGGGGAGAAAGGCACCAGAAAGGCAATGTGGCTGGCCCTTTAAAGGGGGGAGGGCATGGGCGAGGCAGCTGGGAAGGATGGGGCTGGCCCTTTAAACCCTTTAAATCAGTGAGACAGGATGCAGTAACGTAGCTAGCGGGGTTCAGGGGAAGCGGCTGCTTCCCCTGACCACATTCCCCAAAAGTGGCGCCGGCGGAACAGGGCCGCGGGCTGGCTCCTGGCGCTCCGGGCGGCCGGCGGAACGGGGCCGCGGGCTGGCTCCCGGTGCTCCAGCCGGCCGGCAGAATGGGGCCGCGAGCTCCCGGGACTCCGGTCCTGAGAGCGTGGCCGGGGGTCTCGGTGCCCCGGACAGCGCTCTGGATGGGGAAGCGGGGTGGCCCTGCGCATGCGCCGCTCCGTCTTTTGGCGGCATTTTGGCGTATGTGCAGGGCCGCCGAAATGCCACCGAAGGACCGGCGCCTTTTTTCTCCGCTGCTCCTCCTCGGCTGCAACCCTGGCTACACCACTGACAGGATGGAGCTTGCAGCTGGGGTCAAGGCCAGGCCCAGTGCCTGCCAGCAGGGAGCACAGCCACATACCATGGGGAGCAGCAGTGGGGATCTGGGATCCCTGTAGCACCCCAAAGCTGCCCCCAGCAGATCTTCATAGCCAGTGCCCGCTGCACATCGAACTCCCTGTCACTCAGCCACGCAGAGCCCGGCTCAAGCCAGTAACCGCCCAGCTGGTGGCTCCCAGGCTGCTACCTTGTTCTCCAGAGACTGGGCCAGGCGCCGGCGGTGCAGAAACGCCTGGGAAACGTATCGGGGACAGGGAGACACATAACACAAGGGCCCAAGGCAGATCTCCATGGCTATGTTCTCTGGCAGGCCAAGCCCCGGGAATAACGTCACCGCAGAGTCACGAGATGGGAAGGTGTGACCGAGCTGTGAGCATTCAGGATCAGCCCAATGGGCAACATGGCCCAGTGGCTAGAGCACTCAGGACTCCTGGGTTCTATTCCTGGCTCTTCTGCATGACTTCAGGCAAGTCACTTTCCCTTCTGGGCCTCAGTTTCCCCTCCCACTCCTTATCCATTCAGGCTGTGAGCTCCTTGAGGCAAGGGCTGTCTCTCATTGTGTGTCTGTGCAGCGCCTGGCACAAAGAGGACCCTGATCTTGGCTCAGGTCTGTGCAGCATCCAGCACAACAGGGACCCCAACCCTGGTGGGGGTCTGGGCAGCACCTGGCACAAGGGGGGCCCTGATCTCGGGGGTGGTCTGCGGAGTGCCTGTCATTGCACGGTGCCCTGGTTGCTGCCTTTAGGTGCTGCAAATAGTAATGTTCTCTCCCACTCCCCGTGACAGGAGAGAGCCGGGCAGCCTCTACCGGGGGTCATCAGGGAATTTGGCCTCCTTGCCACAACCCATTGGGCAGCCATGCGATCTCCCATTGGTGAAGTTCCAATTTAATGGCCTGAACAGCTGTTCGCTGGGGGGATCAGGGGGATTAAGCGGCAGGAAAGCAAAAGATAAACATCTTCAATGGTTTTATATCTTAAAGCCATAAGGCTATTAGAGAGTATGGGACACGATTCAGGGAGACAGTGGCACTGTAGGGATCCCCTTAGCCCGGCAGCTGGTGGGACCGGCCAGGGGTGCTGATCAAAGCTATGGTCTCGCTGCCTGATGGGACCAACCTCCCTGTGGTAATACCAGGGGGGTAGATCCCCCCCCCTTGGTGGGGCTTGTGAAGGAACAAGAGCCGTAGCGCAGGCCCAGCCCAGCCAACGGCCCTCACGCCCTAGAACATCTCCTGTGAATGCAGCATGGTGCCTGCCCAGCATGCTGGCATGGGTCTCCCCTGCCCTATAGCACCAAGCCAAGGTGGTCTATAGGGGCCGGGGCCGAGGGATGACTCAAAGAAGGGGGAAGATGGGAGCCTCTTA